GGGGTCCTGACGGCTAGTACCGGCTGGAACAGAAATTGAGGCACCCACAGGCTGTTGGGGCCCGAGAGTAATTCCCCCGGGAATACCGTAGGGGCCCAGTTCCTCCTGATCTGAGCGGATCTACCTCGGTCTGGCCAGGGGCCGGGAGGGCAGAAAGTCCGTGAACCAGTGCCCCCTGAGTGGTCGCCTCAGGGGTGCTCTTAGTAACACTTGGGTGTGGGACCCCAGCGTGTGAAAAGGCACATGGTCACTGTGTTCAAACACTTTTTCCTCACAGCGCCCTCAGGACCAGGCCTTTTTTGGCTAAGTTCGGAGCAATTTTTTGCTACAGGCCTCAGGCTAGCCTGGTCTGTGCACATTTGGCACGACCACTTTTTATTTATTTAATTTATTATTTCTCCCACTGTTTGTCACTTTCACTCTTATGTGTGTGTTTTTATTTCCTCACAGGATGGTGGGTGTGGGGGTCCTTGGGCCTACCCTGAAGTCTAGGGGGAGGATGTGTGGCCATACGGTTCTCATGGTTCTCATGTTAGTCCGCCTAGGCCTTTTGGCTAGGTGGACCAAATGGGAACCTTGTCCCTAGTCCGCCCCTGCTGCCAATAACCAGCAAGTGTATTTGCATGGTGATCAGCTGTGTCCAAAGGACACTGTGTGTGTGCCGCTGGGGGTGTGCAAGGGACGCGTTCTGCGAGGACGTCATATGACGCCCTCCCAGAACTGGACGACTGCGCTGTAGCTGTCATTCAGCTATAGCTCTTAGATTGTAAGCTCCAAGGAGCAGGGCCCTCCTAACCCTCTTGTATTGCACTGTATTGTTGCTGTATTGTCTCACTTTATATTGTAAAGCAAAAATGCATGTAAACGCGTCTAAACACTAGCTGTGTTTAGTGCTTGGGCATTAATTCATGTCAATTGAAAATACAGTGGCCAATCAAATGAATAAACATTCAAGCGCTAAATGCGGCTAGAAGCGGTACTGCACCTTTTTTCTGCGTTTAGCAATTTTCTGCTGCAAGGAGAGCTAAACGTCTAGGGGGTTAATTTGTACATGAGGCCTTAAATGCTGGTAAACGCTTTTCCTGAACACAGTTTTTGTGCTTTCAGAGAAATGCCAGTAATTTCAGCTGCCTGTAAACCCCTCTAAACGACTATGTGTACATGAACACTTACAGTTCCTTGAGTTCCTCCCATTCTTTCTGTTCCTTTAAAAACAACGCATGGGGCTAGTGGTGAGGTCATCACAGTGAGCGGCGTCTGGAAGCCATCCATTGGAATATGGATGTGTCATGCCATGTTTTATCTGCTGAAATGTCCATTTGTTTACCATTTTCAATAAAAAGAGTGAGAACGATCTGCACTATAAGTATCTTTTTGCTTTTCGCATATTATTTTGCCATTGGCAGAAGGTCTGTGAGTGAGGTAAGAGGAGGACTGGAGAGGAGTTTCCTTTTTACACATGTAAATAAAGCGCAGTTGGCCTCCTTTTATCAGTGGGGGTCCAACAATTAAGGTGAGCTGATACCCATAAGGTGGGGTGAAGGGCACTCTGTTATGCATGGTGTGGAAACTGGAGCTTCCTTGCACTGTCCGAAGATCTACTTATTTGCAATAGGAGATTGAACAAAAATTGAATGGTTTATGGGACTCACTTAATTTACAGATTTTTTTTTTTAAAGATTTTTTTCTACCACTGTTGCACTTTATATTGACTTTGGAATGAATATATTTAATACAACTGTGGCATATGGATTATGTTATTATTTATTTAATGATTTACATGATTCAGAGAACATTCTTTGCACATTGCCATGGTTCTTTTTACATTTATTGAGGTTTGATCCGCTCATTGATTTATCATGTATGATAATAATAATAATAATGATAATATATATATGATACTGATACATACAGTATACTGGATAGATAGATAGATAGATAGATAGATAGATAGATAGATAGATAGATAGACAGATAGACAGATAGACAGATAGACAGATAGACAGATAGACAGATAGACAGATAGACAGATAGACAGATAGACAGATAGACAGATAGACAGATAGACAGATAGACAGATAGACAGATAGATAGATTAGATAGATTAGATAGATAGATAGATAGATACGATAGATACGATAGATACGATAGATACGATAGATACGATAGATAGATAGATAGATAGATAGATAGATAGATAGATAGATACCATAGATACCATAGATAGATAGACAGACAGACAGACAGACAGACAGACAGAGAGACAGAGAGACAGACAGACAGACGGACGGACGGACGGACGGACGGACGGATAGATAGATAGATAGATAGATAGATAGATAGATAGATAGATAGATAGATAGATAGAAGAAATATAGATCTAGATAGTGTTTATAATTGATTGATTTTGGGTCACTGTAATATTTAATTAAACACTGTATTAAAGTGTTACTAAACCCAGGACCCTGCATCCACTATATCTGGTCTCCCACATTACACAATACATGAAAATGCAATTATTTTAGTAAATAGAAGCTGCTAAATACCTTTTCTCATCAGCAGTATAAAGCAGTCTTGTGACTTCTATCTATTCTACTTCTAATCTATGTCCAGTAGAGCACATGTTAAAGCTTGTAGGAGGAGTTTTCATTTTGCTCTAGGAGGATGCAGAACCCCTGACCTCTGTCTGGACAGTGCTAATTGGCCCTGTGCTGATCACATGCAGTCTCCCAAGAAAAAAAAAAACCTCTCTAGCAATACACAGCAAACTGAGCATGTGCAGAGTGACTCCACACAATATGTCCTATCAGGAGATCAGAGGGGGACACTGGAAGAAGTTGAGGATCAGAGAAGGCAGGATCAAACAGCGTCTTTACACAATGCAAAGGATTAACCCCTTGGGTCCACAGTGAGTATAACAAGCATGCTTTACCACATATACAGAGTGTTTTTACTGTTGAGGGTTTAGTAACACTTTAACTCTTTACACTGATATCTTTATACCCCAATAGGCTAGTGACCTAATCTTTGGCTGTCTGTGCCGATTACTTGCATTACACCCCTTTATTAACTTCAGACCAGGCAAAGTTTCAAAGCTTTACTTGAATAATAGAGCATAGAAAGAATCACAGGATACCAGTTCAACAATAAGTAGTCTTTCCCTAACATCCCTAATCCCTAACTACAGGCTTGTGGCTGCCCAGCATACCTTCACAGGTGAGAGTCCCATCATGGCCGAGTCCCTGGATGGTATCCTTAGGGGGGACTGCAAGTCCCAGAAAACCCCTACACATGGAAGGCTCCAGGACACAGGTTGTGGTAGCTTTGCTATAATCAAGAGCACAAGCACTCTCCTAGGGACATACTAAAATGAATGACAGAATGGAATGCCCATAAACTTTAACAAGGCAGTGGAATGCCCATAGAGAATAATGAAACAGAAGGGAATGCCCATACAAAATAATGGAGTCAGAACCATTAGACATATCACATAAATCCTTAGCAGACATGCTCTGCAAGTTCAGTATTGACGTTTAAAATGAGGAATTAATATTGTTTTCTTTTAGAGTATGTCGACTAAGGATTTATTTGATATGTCTATGTATATCGGCATTCCATTCTGTCATTTACCTTTGTCTTTCCCTAGAAAACTGCTATAACCCAAGATCATTTCAATCTTACAATCTGCTACTCTGCTTGGGGATCGCCCAAAGATTTGTCAACAAATACATTCATATTTTGTTTCCATTATACTCTATGGGCATTCCCTTTTGTTATTCACATTTGTCATTCCATAGAAAACAATAATAATCCCACTTAATCTCAATTTTAATAATCACCGCTGAATTTGCAGAGCATGTCTGCTAAGGATTTATGTGATACGTGTCTCATGGTTCTGACTCCAGGTCACACTTTGCTTCCCATTATACTCTATGGGCATTCCTTTGTGTGATTCATCTGTCATTCCATAGAAAACAGCTATAATCCCAAATTATTTCAATTTTACAATCTGCTGCTGTACTTCAGGAACACCCGTGGGAAAGATTAAATTGCTATATGCCACAGCTTTGCAAATACATTCATATTTTGCTTCCCAATATATTCTATGGGCATTCCCTTCTTTCATTCACCTTTGTCATTCCATAGAGAGCAATGATAATCCTGTTTAACCACTTCTTGAGCGCACTATAGCTGAATGATGGCTACAGCGCGGTTGTCCAGTTCTGGGAGTGCATCATATGACAGCAGCGCACACCCATAACTCTCTGTGATCGCTGTATTCTTTGGACACCGCTGATCACATAACATGGTAAAAAGCCAATCACAGCAGCCTTTTACCACATGATCAGCTGTGTCCAATCACAGCTGACCACTATATAAATACACTTGCCAGTTATGGGCAGCACTTTCCTTGTGCTGTCACAGCGTGAGGAAAGTACTGCCGATAATCGGCAACTGTGAAAGGATTAATCTACACTGATAATTCAGGGCACTGAATATCAGTTCAATATTATCAGTGCAGCCCCAAAAGTGCCCATCAGTGCTGCCTATCAGTGCCCAACAGTGCTGCCAATCTCTGCTCATCAGTGCTGCCAATCTGTGCCGTTCAGTGCTGTCAGTCAGTGCCGCCAGTCAGTGTCCTTCAGTGATGCCTATTAGTGCCCATTAGTGTCACCTATCAGTGCCCATCATTGCTGTCTATCAGTGCCGTATATCAGTGCAGCCTCATCAGTGCCTTCTCATCAATGCCCTCATCAGTGAAGCCTATCAGTGCCCATCACTGCTTTCATTCAGTGCTGCCGCATCAGTGCCCATCAGTGCTGCCTATCAGTGCCCATTAGTGCAGCCTATGAATGCCTATCAGTAATTTTAAACATCACCACTGAATGTGGAGAGCGTGTCTGCTAAGCCCCCGGTACACTTCACTTACAGTGAAGTCGCATGATTTTGCAAAGCCGGGTGACCTGCTGATTTCAGGTGCAATTTGCAAGACATCTGACACAGATGTCTATGCAAATCGCACCAAATGTAGTGCATGTACTCAGGGGCGGACTGACCATTTGGAAACTCGGGCACTGCCCGGGGGCCCAGGGTCAGTAGGGGGCCCCATGAGATGCCCCTGGTACCTTTTTCATAGGCTTTTTTGAGTGTGGGCAAGGACACACAGGGCCTCATGATCCCCTATTGCCCGGGGGCCCCATGAGTTGTCAGTCCGCCCCTGCATGTACTACTTTAGAAATCGGTGCGGCTCCGACCAAATATGATCGCTCTAATTGTGGACAATAGGGTGCGATTTGGCATACGATTTGCATGCCAAGACGCAGCCAATGTGCCCGGGGTGTAAGGATTTATTTGTAATGTTGAATGGTTCTGAATCCAGGTCACATCTTTCTTCCCATTCTACTCTATGGGCATTCTCTTTTGTCATTCCATAGAAAACAGCTACAATTCCAAATGATTTCAATGTTACAATCTGCTGCTCTACTTGGGCAAGACCCGTGGAAGGTGACATTGCTGTTTCTCAGATTTGCCTGCAAATGAGTTTATATTTTGCTTCCCATTATACTCTATAGCAGTGGTTCTTAACCTTTTTGGAGGTACTGAACCCCACCAGTTTCATATGCGCATTCACCAAACCCTTCTTAATTGGACAAATAAAATATGATTTTTAAAATTCAAAACATAGGTATATATTTATACATAGGTGCACAAAATGAACAAAACCATTAAGAACAAAGAACAAAACCATTAAAACATGATTTTCACACAAAAACAAAAATAATGAATATTTACCGCAAATCAGTGTGACTTCTGCTGTTGTCTTTCAGAGGCCAGTTCAGAAATGCGCGGCATTACCTTGGCAAGTGCCACTCTCTTGTCATTTTTCGCAACAAAGTCTGTTCCTTTTCTTCGTCTTTTGTCCAGCATCCTCGAAAGGATTGCTCGCAAAGATATGTTTGTAACAAACGGTATGACAATTCATCCCCCATAGTAATTCATCCCCCCCATATAGTAATTCATCCCCCATAGTAATTCATCCCCCTATATAGTAATTCATTCCCCATATAGTAATTCATCCCCCATAGTAATTCATCCCTCATAGTAATTCATCCCCCATATAGTAATTCATCCCCCATATAGTAATTCATCCCCCATAGTAATTCATCCCCCATAGTAATTCATCCCCCATATAGTAATTCATCCCCCATAGTAATTCATCCCCCATATAGTAATTCATCCCCCATAGTAATTCATCCCCCCCTATAGTAATTCATCCCCCATATAGTAATTCATCCCCCCTATAGTAATTCCTTCCCCATATAGTAATTCATCCCCCATATAGTAATTCATCCCCCATAGTAATTCATCCCCCATATAGTAATTCATCCCCCCCCTATAGTAATTCCTTCCCCATATAGTAATTCATCCCCCCATATAGTAATTCATCCCCCATAGTAATTCATCCCCCATATAGTAATTCATCCCCCATAGTAATACATCCCCCATATAGTAATTCATCCCCCATATAGTAATTCATCCCCCATATAGTAATACATCCCCCATATAGTAATTCATCCCCCATATAATAATTCATCCCCCATATAGTAATTCATCCCCCCCATAGTAATACATCCCCCATATAGTAATTCATCCCCCCATATAGTAATTCATCCCCCATATAGTAATTCATCCCCCCTATAGTAATTCCTTCCCCATATAGTAATTCATCCCCCATATAGTAATTCATCCCCCATAGTAATTCATCCCCATATAGTAATTCATCCCCCATAGTAATACATCCCCATATAGTAATTCATCCCCCATATAGTAATTCATCCCCCATATAGTAATACATTCCCCATATAGTAATTCATCCCCCATATAATAATTCATCCCCCATATAGTAATTCATCCCCCATAGTAATACATCCCCGATATAGTAATACATCCCCCATATAGTAATTCATCCCCCATATAATAATTCAACCCCCATATAGTAATTCATCCCCCATATAGTAATTCATCCCCCCTATAGTAATTCATTCCCCATATTAATTCATCCCCCATATTAAGTCCCCAAGTCCCCCCTGTGTCAATTCACTTACCTTTGCTCCGCGCGTTCCTCTCGCTGTATTCCCGCGCCGTTCCGGTCTTCAGGGCGGACTGTGAGAGGAGCCTAGCTCCTCTCACGTTCGTCACGCTGCCCCCTACACACATCCTGACAGCCAATCACTGGCTATCAGGATGTGAGTGGCAGCGAGACTGGCCAATCATTGCATTTGAGTCCCTGCCGCCCGAGAGGAGGGAGGGGAGCGGGCGCCCAGCACACAAGAGCCGCGGCTTGCCGACCACTGGGCTAAGCGATGTTGCGTGACCACCTGCAGCCAATGATGGACAAGCGGGGCATGTCATCACAAATCATATGAGTCGGGTGTGGGTCACCTCCGCCGAACCCCCGAGACTGACTCACCGAACCCCTGGGGTTCGATCGAACCCAGGTTAAGAACCACTGCTCTATAGGCATCCCACTGCCCTGCTAAAGTCTATGGGCATTCCATTCTGTCATTTCTTTTAGTATGTCCTGTATACACAATTATACAGTGATGTTAGCATTTTCTGTATCTGCACCCCTCTCTGCCAATCTATCCACTGACTTCCCATTGCCCAATGAATAAAATTCAGAATATTAACAATAACATATAAAGCCATTTATAACTCTGCCCCAAATTTCATCACCAATCTTGTCTCCAAATATCACCTAAAACCGTCCTCTCCACTCCTCGCACGACCTCCAGCTTTCTAGCTCCCTTGTCTCCTCCTCCCATGCTCATCTCCAGGACTTCTCCAGAGCCTCCCCATCCTCTGGAACTCTCAACCCCAATCTATATATCGCATACTCTGACCACTTGTATGCAATCTCTGATTACCTCTCTCTTCAGGGAAGCTTATCCTGCCCTCAGCTAATAATGGAATCTTCTGTTTCTCCAATCAGTTCATCCTTCACAGGTATTTACCTTTTGTACCACCAGCCCCTCCCTCTAAGATTGTAAGCTCCAAGGAGCAGGGCCCTCCTAACCCTCTTTGTATTGAACTGTATCGTTGCTGGATTGTCTCCCTTTATTTTGCAAAGTTCTGAGAAAACTGTTGGCCCTCACGCTATATAAATCCTGTATAATTAATAATAATCATAATCCTCACGTCACTGTATATTAGTGTATACCATGAGGAAAGTCCTCACGTCACTGTATAATAGTGTATACCATGAGGAAAGTCCTCCTCACATCACTGTATAATAGTGTATACCATGAGGAAAGTCCTCCTCACATCACTGCATAATAGTGTATACCATGAGGAAAGTCCTCCTCACATCACTGCATAATAGTGTTATACCATGAGGAAAGTCCTCCTCACATCGCTGTATAATAGTGTATACCATGAGGAAGGTCCTCACATCACTGTATAATAGTGTATACCATGAGGAAAGTCCTCACATCACTGTATAATAGTGTATACCATGAGGAAGGTCCTCACGTCACTGTATAATAGTGTATACCATGAGGAAGGTCCTCACGTCACTGTATAATAGTGTATACCATGAGGAAGGTCCTCACGTCACTGTATAATAATAGTGTATACCATGAGAAAGTCCTCACGTCACTGTATAATAGTGTATACCATGAGGAAAGTCCTCACGTCACTGTATAATAGTGTATACCATGAGGAAAGTCCTCCTCACATCACTGTATAATAGTGTATACCACGAGGAAGGTCCTCACATCACTGTATAATAGTGTATACCGCGAGGAAGGTCCTCACATCACTGTATAATAGTGTATACCATGAGGAAAGTCCTCACGGCACTGTATAATAGTGTATATTGGGAGGAAGGTCCTCACATCACTGTATAATAGTGTATACCAGGAGGAAGGTCCTCACGTCACTGTATAATAGTGTATACCACGAGGAAAGTCTTCCTCACATCACTGTATAATAGTGTATACCATGAGGAAAGTCCTCCTCACATCACTGTATAATAGTGTATACCATGAGGAAGGTCCTCACGTCACTGTATAATAGTGTATACCATGAGGAAAGTCCTCCTCACATCACTGTATAATAGTGTATACCAGGAGGAAGGTCCTCACGTCACTGTATAATAGTGTATACCACGAGGAAAGTCTTCCTCACATCACTGTATAATAGTGTATACCATGAGGAAAGTCCTCCTCACATCACTGTATAATAGTGTATACCATGAGGAAGGTCCTCACGTCACTGTATAATAGTGTATACCATGAGGAAAGTCCTCCTCACATCACTGTATAATAGTGTATACCATGAGGAAGGTCCTCACGTCACTGTATAACAGTGACACTATTATGCAGTGATGTGAGGAGGACTTTCCTCATGGTATACACTATTATGCAGTGATGTGAGGACTTTCCTCATGGTATACACTATTATACAGTGACGTGAGGACCTTCCTCATGGTATACACTATTATACAGTGATGTGAGGACTTTCCTCATGGTATACACTGTTATACAGTGACGTGAGGACCTTCCTCATGGTATACACTATTATACAGTGATGTGAGGAGGACTTTCCTCATGGTATACACTATTATACAGTGACGTGAGGACCTTCCTCATGGTATACACTATTATACAGTGATGTGAGGAGGACTTTCCTCATGGTATACACTATTATACAGTGATGTGAGGAAGACTTTCCTCGTGGTATACACTATTATACAGTGACGTGAGGACCTTCCTCATGGTATACACTATTATACAGTGATGTGAGGAGGACTTTCCTCATGGTATACACTATTATACAGTGACGTGAGGACCTTCCTCATGGTATACACTATTATACAGTGTGACGACTTTCCTCATGGTATACACTATTATACAGTGACGTGAGGACCTTCCTCATGGTATACACTATTATACAGTGACGTGAGGGCCTTCCTCGTGGTATACACTATTATACAGTGACGTGAGGAGGACTTTCCTCATGGTATACACTATTATACAGTGACGTGAGGACCTGATACACTAATATACAGTGAGTGAGGAGGACTTTCCTCATGGTATACACTATTATGCAGTGACGTGAGGACCTTCCTCATGGTATACACTATATACAGTGATGTGAGGACTTTCCTCATGGTATACACTGTTATACAGTGACGTGA